ACTGCTGGTGGGAGTGTAAATTAGTTCAACCATTGTGGAAGACAGTGTGGTGATTCCTCAAGGCCTTAGAAATAGAAATTCCATTTGACCCAGCAATCCCATTACTGGGTATATATCCAAAAGACTATAAATCGTTCTACTATAAGGACACATGTACACGAATGTTCATTGCAGCACTGCTTACAATAGCAAAGACCTGGAATCAACCCAAATGCCCATTGATAACAGACTGGATTGGAAAAATGTGGCATATATGCACCATGGAATATTATGCAGCAATCAGAAATGATGAGTTTGTGTCTTTTGTAGGGACATGGATGAATCTGGAGAATATCATCCTCAGCAAACTGACACAAGAACAGAAAATGAAACACCGCATATTCTCACTCATAGGCGGGTGATGAAAAATGAGAACACATGGACACAGGGAGGGGAGTACTAAACACTGGGGTCTATTGGGGGGAAAAGGGGAGGGCCGGTGGGAGGGGGCGGTGGGGAGGGATAGCCTGGGGAGAAATGCCAAATGTGGGTGAAAAGGAGAAAGGAAGGAAAACACACTGCCATGTGTGTACCTATGCAACTGTTTTGCATGCTCTGCTCATGTACCCCAAAACCTAAAATGCAATAAAAAATTAAAAAAAACAAAACAAAAAACTCAAAACCAGGAAAAGAGGAGAAATAACTAAGATCAGAGAAGAACTGAAGGAGATAGAGACACAAAAAACCCTTCAAAAAATCAATAAACCCAGGAGCCGGTTTTTCAAAAAGATCAACAAAATAGACCACTAGCCAGATTAATAAAAAAGAAAAGAGAGAATAACCAAATAGATGCAATAAAAAATAATAAAGGGGATATCACCACAGACTCCACAGAAATTCAAACCATCATCAGAGATTATTAAAAACAACTCTATGTACATAAACTAGTAAACCTGGAAGAAATGGATAAATTCCTGGACACTTGCATCCTCCCAAGCCTAAACCAGGAAGAAGTCGAAACCCTGAATAGAACAGTAACAAGGTCGGAAGTTGAGGAAGCAATTAAGAGCCTACCACACAAAAAAAGCCCAGGTTCAGATGGGTTCACAGCAGAATTCTACCAGACATACAAAGAGGAGCTGGTACCATTCCTTCTAAAATGATTCAAAATAATCCAAAAAGAGGAAATCCTTCCCAAATCATTTTATGAGACCAACCTTATCCTGATACCAAAACCTGGCAGAGACTCAGCAAGAAAAGAAAACTTCAGGCCAATATCCATGATGAACATAGATGCAAAAATATTCAATAAAATACTGGCAAGCTGCTTGCAGCAGCACATCAAAAAGCTTATCCACCATGATCAAGCAGGATTCATCCTGGGGATGCAAGGCTGGTTCAACATATGCAAGTCTATAAACATAATTCACCACAAAAAGAGAACCAAAGACAAAAACCACATGATTATCTCAATTGATGCAGAGAAGGCCTTCAAGAAAATTCAACAGCCCTTTATGCTAAAGACCCTCAATAAACTAGGTATTGACAGAACGTATCTCCAAATAATAAAAGCTATTTATGACAAACCAACAGCCGATATCATACTGAATGGGTAAAAACTGGAAGCATTCTCTTTGAAATCTGGCACTAGACAAGGATGCCCTCTCTCACCACTCCTATTCAATATAGTACTGGAAGTTCTAGCCAGAGCAATCAGGCAAGAAACAGAAATAAAAGGTATTCAAATAGGAAAGGAGGAAGTCAAATTGTCTCTGTTTGCAGATGACATGATTGTATGTCTAGAAGACCCCATTGTCTCAGCCCAAAATCTCCTGAAACTGAAAAGCAACTTCGGTAAAATCTCAGTATACAAAATCAATGTGCAGAAATCACAAGCATTCTTACACACCAATAACAGACTTAAAGAGAGCCAAATCAAGAATGAACTGCCATTCGCAATTGCTACAAAGAGAACAAAATACCTAGGAATACAACTAACAAGAAACATAGAGGACCTTTTCAAGGAGAACTACAAATCACTGCTCAACGAAATAAGAGAGGACACAAACAGATGGAGAAACATTCCATGTTCATGGTCAGGAAGAATATCATGAAAATGGCCATACTGCCCAAGGTAATTTACAGATTCAACACTATCCCCATCAAGCTACCAATGACCTTCTTCACAGAACTGGAAACAAACACCTTAAACTTCATATGGAAGCAAAAGAGAGCCCGCATAGCCAAGTCAATTCTAAGCAAAAAGAACACAGCGGGAGGCATCACACAACCAGACTTCAAATTATACGTCAAGGCTACAGTAATCAAAACAGCATGGTACTGGTACCAAAACAGAGGCCTTGGAGGCAACATAACATATCTACAATCATCCGATCTTTGACAAACCTTACAAAAACAAGCAATGGGGAAAGGATTCTCTGTTTAACAAATGGTGTTGGGAAAACTGGCTAGCCAGAGCAGAAACTGGACCCCTTCCTGACAATTTACACTAAAATTAACTCCATATGGATTAAAGACTTAAACATAAGACCTGGCACCATAAAAACCCTAGAAGAAAATCTAGCAAAACCATTCAGGACATAGGCGTAGGCAAGGACTTCATGACCAAAACACCAAAAGCATTGGCAACAAAAGCCAAAATAGACAAATGGGACCTAATCAAATGCCACAGCTTCTGCACAGCAAAAGAAAGTCATTAGAGTTAATCTGCAATCAACAGAATGGGAAGAAACTTTTGCAGTCTACCCATTTGACAAAGGGCTGATATCCAGAATTTACAATGGACTAAAACAGATTTACAAGAAAAAACAAACAAGCCCATTCAAAAGTGGGCGAAGGATATGAACACTTTATAAAAGAAGACATATGTCCAGGCGTGGTGGCTCACGCCTGTAATCCCAGCACTTTGAGAGGCCGAGGTGGGTGGATCACGAGGTCAAGAGATCAAGACCATCTTGGTCAACATGGTGAAACCCCGTCTCTACTAAAAATACAAAAAATTAGCTGGGCACGGTGGCGCGTGCCTGTAATCCCAGCTACTCAGGAGGCTGAGGCAGGAGAATTGCCTGAACTCAGGAGGCGGAGGTTGTGGTGAGCTGAGATTGCGCCATTGCACTCCAGCCTGGGTAACAAGAGCGAAACTCCGTCTCCAAAAAAAAAGAAGACATACATGAGAGGCCAGCAAACATATGAAAAAATGCTCATCATCACTGGTCATTAGAGAAATGCAAATCAAAACTACACTCAGATACCATCTCATGCCACTTAGAATGGCGATCATTAAACATCTGGAGACAACAGATGCTGGAGAGGATGTGGAGAAACAGGAATACTTTTATACTGTTGGTGGGAGTGTAAGTTAGTTCAACCATTGTGGTGCTTCCTCAAGGATTTAGAAACAGAAATTCCATTTGACCCAGCAATCCCATTACTGGGTATATACCCAAAGGATTATAAATCATTGTATTATAAAGACACATGCACACATATGTTCATAGTGGCACTGTTTACAATAGCAAAGACCTGGAACCAACCCAAATGTCCATACGAGACAATATACTGGACAGGGAAAATGTGGCACATATACACCCTGGAATATTATGCAGCCATCAAAAACAATGAGTTTGTGTCCTTTGTAGGGACATAGATGAACCTGGAAACCATCATTCTCAGCAAACTGACACAAGAACAGAAAATCAAACACCGCATGTTCTCACTCATAGGTGGGTGTTGAACAATGAGAACACATAGACACATGGAGGGGAGCATCACACACTGGGGTCTGTTGGGGGGAAATAGGGGAGGGACAGTAGGGGGTGGGGAGTTGGGGAGAGATAGCATGGGGAGAAATGCCCGATATAGATGAAGGGGAGGAAGGCAGCACACTGCCATGTGTGTACCTATGCAACAATCTTGCATGTTCTTCACATGTACCCCAAAACCTAAAATGCAATAAAAAAAGGGGAGGCATGAATAATCTACCCCTTGTTTGGCATATAATCAAGAATAACTATAAAAATGGGCAACCAGCAGCCCTTGGGGCTGCTCTGTCTATGGAGTAGTTAAAAAAAAAAAAACCCAAAAGAAATTAAAATAGCATACTTATTTAAAAGAAGGGCCTTGGCTCTTCATCAAATTATTGACTGATATTTATTTAAGTTAAATTTATATTTATTTTAAAGATATAGAAAATTTCCCACTTAACTGATTTTTTTTCAATTAAGTGGCCAATCACTGGTCTCAAAGTGTCAAATGCACTTTTATTTCCATTGTGGCCCATTACTGCTTCATTTTTTTTTTTTAGACAGAGTCTCACTCTGTTGCCCAGGCTAATGTGCAGTGGTGTGATCTGGGCTCACTGCAAGCAGCCTCTGTCTCCTGGGTTCAGGCTTTCTCATGCCTCAGTCTCCCATGTAGCTGGGATTACAGGTGTGCACTACCACATCTGGCTATTTTTTCTGGTTTCTCTTTTTTAGTAGAGACAGGGTTTCACCACGTTGGCCAGGCTGGTCTTGAACTCATGGCCTCAAGTGATCCATTCGCCTCGGCCTCCCAAAGTGCTGGGATTACAGGTGTAAGCCACCATGCCCGGCTGCTTCATTTCTTAATGTAAGTATATGTATACTTGTTCCCTGGCTAGATTCCAAGTGAGAAAAAGTAAATAATTAGTCAGAGTCTATTCTTCTAAATTTCCCTGTTTGTAACATAAGTTGGGGTAAAGTCTGAGAAGACTACCTAGAAATTGTTGTTCTATTCAGAAAATTTTTTTTCCCAGGGAAAAAAGAACACCCTATCGCAGGGATGGAAAATGCTTGTAAGGCATGTCTGTGAGACATATTAATAATACTATGCCATATATTAATAGATGTGGATATTTTCAATTAAGAAATAATTCCTTTGGTTCTCATGGGAACTATACTTTCAACCCTTTGATAGCCTTCTGACTATACTGTTAGAAGTTTAGCATTAGATTCAGTGTTTTTCAGGTCTGTCAATCTCACCTGTTCACCAGCTTGGGATTCCCCAATGATGAAACGATCTCCTGGGCCATCAGCAGCTGTGAGATGGAACAGAGCCAAGAACAAACATCAGTATGGACCTATAGCATGGAATAAGAACCCAATACTGGAATTCTAAAATTTGACTCAAATTATTTGATAAGGCTTAGAGAAGTGGAATATTTTTCTGATCTCCTAGGCATGACAATGGGTTTGTTACTGCTGGTTTAATGTTCGGTATCTGCAATTCACATGCATTGACAGGAAGTGGTCCTAACTGTACCACTGGTGCCAAATTGTGCCATGGTGTCACTGGAGCTGGTCTTCCTGTCACCCCATAATTTCCACCCTTGTGCTTTTCTAGTAAGTTCTTCTAGCCCATCTTCCTAAATAAATACCACCTTATCCATGTGTATGGATGTGTGTGTGAGTGCACACTCATGGATATATATAGATATCCATACATATATATATATATATGGATTTATCACTATTGGTATATATATTCGTATGTCTCCATTTTTCTATAAAATTTTAAACACTTCATACTGTTTTCTTATTTATCTCCCAGTCTGGACTTCCTAATGTGAAATAGGAAGAACATTCCTTTCTACATTTGACAGCTGAAGGAAATGAATTATAGAAAGAAAGAATTCAGGTAGAAAAGGTAAAGTACTTTCAACAATTTCTGGTTAATGATAGAGCTAGGACTAAAATCCAGTCTCATAATTGTAGCACAGTATTTTTTAATAATGTGTCAAAATTCTGTTTATGAATTAGAATACATAGGCAGTACTGCATCACATTTTCCATTGGCTATTTATTTTTAAATTTAAAAAAATTTCCAGAATTAGGATGGAAAAAAATTATTAAAAAAAATATATATGTAGTATAACAATGGCTGGCTGCATAAACATTCTTGGAAGTTCAAAAGCGTTTTCTTGACATATGATGTGGCTTTCAGACCAACACTACTGGGCAAAAATGCCTATCTAGCAAGTTTTATGAGCATGACCATTACCTCCATGTTATCTGCAGAGTTCTGGGGGCATATATATAGAAAATATATACTTTATGAATATTTAGATTACATTTGCAATCATACAGATAAATAATAATATTTTCTCCTTTTAAAAGGACATTAGATTAATTGTTTGTTGATATAGCTACAAAGTGGTATTTTTTCTAAAGGCTTATATAAAACATTGTTTATAATGAAGTCATCCCTTTTTTGCATAAATGGTTTTGGTTAGCCTGATGTGGAGAGGGACAAAAATTAACACTGTGTCCCTTTTGTCACAAGATGTTGCATTTTATATTTTATAGATATTATGTCAGTTAATAAACTCTTGCCTTTCTTGTGTTTTTTTTTGGAGTCAGATTACATTTTTCAGTTTTTACTTTTAAACTATTATAGAAGAGTTTTTTCTGCAATGTTATTTTATTAAGTCACTTTCATGGGCTATTTTTTAAAAAGGTTTAAAAAGTTTTGCAACAGGCAGGGTGCAGTGGCTCACGCCTGTAATCCCAGCACTTTGGAAGGCCGAGGAGGGCAGATCACCTGAGGTTGGGAGTTCAAGGCTAGCCTGGCCAACATGGTGAAACCCCATCTCTATTAAAAATACAAAAATTAGCCGGGTGTGGTGGCACATGCCTGTAATTCTAGCTACTTGGGAGGCTGAGGTAGGAGAATTGCTTGAACATGGGAGGCACAAGTTGCGGTAAGCCAAGATTGCACCACTGCACTCCAGACCAATCTTGTTTCTTCTATCCCCCACTTATTTTTGCTATCTGTCAGAGCAAGTGATAATTTTTTTTACTGTAGAGAATTAAAACATCAGTTATCCTTTAGAGTTACACACTAACTGTACCTCAAACATGAATAAACCTATTTTAAATTATTTCTCTAGTAGAGAAATAATTATCAGCTTTGCTACCTCCTATAGCAACCTAGACCTTTTCTCTCTTTTTTTTTGAGACAGAGTTTCTGCTCTTGTTCCCCAGGCTGGAGTGCAATGGTGTGATCTCGGCCCACTGCAACCTCTGCCTCCTGAGTTCAGGTGATTCTCCTGTCTCAGCCTCCTGAGTAGCTGGGATTACAGGTGCATGCCACCATGCCTGGCTAATTTTTCTCTCTCTCTCTTTTTTTTTTTTTGTAGAGAAGGGTTTTCATCATATTGGTCAGACTGGTCTCTTATACCTGACCTCAGGTGATCCACCTGCTTCTGCCTCCCAAAGTGCTGGGATCACAGGCCTGAGCCACCACACCTGGCCCATATTCCCTTTTTTTTACTTCCTGCACAAGCGGGGAATTAGCACTGTTTTAGAGTAAAAAAAAAAAAAAAAAAGCTGAATCTGAATCCTGGTTCTGTTTACTGTTAGCTTCAGGGACTCTCAGCAAAATTACTAAACCTCTCTAACCTTCAGTTTTCTTTTTGGTAGAAACAGATATAATCACAGTTTTAAATTAATATCTTTGAAGCTCTTCATTCCTTTTATTCATTCAGTAAATTTCTGAGTGTCTTTCATGCCCAAGTGTTATATTAGGAGCTGGAGAGAGAGTAGGGGGTAAACCTAGACACTGTTTCTGTTTTAGTGCAGTGCTAATCTGTCATAAGGTTTTTCAAATTCTGGATGACAAATGGAGGTGGACTTTAAAATCAACTTGTAAATAATTTTTAAATGAAAAGGATAGAAAATATATTTCAGCACACATGGTAAGGGTGACCCTTATTTCATGAAACTTATTTTTGCTTATATGTATGTATATTTGTATATACGGTATGTTATATATGTGTGTGTGTATCATTGGCTTGTAATACATATTTAATGTATTTCTTCCCATGGGTGTGGTTAAAATAAAACTCTTAAAGCCACTGATGCATCAGGAGAGGCAGATATTAATCAAATAAATAATCACATTAATGAATATATAAATGCAAATTAAGAAAATCATTCCAAAGCAAAGAAACATGGTTTTATGAGAGTATACAATTAAAGTACCTGAGCTACACTGGGGAGTAAGGGAAAGCATGATCAAAGAATTTCTGATTTTAATATGAAGAATAAGTAAGAGCTAAGGAGGGGTGTGTATGTGTGTGAGAGAGTGGGGAGCAGAGAGAGAGAGGAAAGGAGGGAGAGGGAAAGGGAAGGGAGGAGGAGGAGAGACAGAAAAAGATAAAGTGGAAGTGTTCCATCATTGTGCACAAAGAGAACATTATGTGCAAAGGCCTTGGTTCATGTCTTCCTTATACTTTATACTCTAGCTGTTCTCAACAGCTAGTACTATAGTTCCCTGAGAGTACCAAGATAACTCATATTTCAGCTCCATGACATATGCTACTTCTGCTATTTAAAGTGTTCTTTTCCTATTCTTGCGTTCTGATTAAAGATTGTTTTAGCTGTTAAGACTCAGCTCAGGCCGGGCGTGGTGGCTCACGCCTGTAATCCCAGCACTTTGGGAGGCCGAGGCGGGTGGATCACGAGGTCAAGAGTTTGTAGACCATCCTGGTCAACATGGTGAAACCCCCGTCTCTACTAAAAATACAAAAAAATTAGCTGGGCACAGTGGCGCATGCCTGTAATCCCAGCTACTCGGGAGGCTGAAGCAGGAGAATTGCCTGGACCCAGGCGGCGGAGGTTGTGGTGAGCCGAGATTGAGCCATTACACTCCACCTGGGTAACAAGAGCGAAACTCCGTCTCAAAAAATAAAAAAAAAAAAAGACTCAGCTCAAGTGTCATCTTCTCTATGAAGTCATATTTGACTCCTCTCCCCTCAAGAGTTGCCTCCGTACTCTTTTGTTTCCCAGTGTATCCTGAAATTAATTATGGCTTCAAAATGTATTTACAGTATTTGCATATCCCTGGCACTTGCTGTACAATAGGTGTTAAATAAATGTTCAATATGTTAAGTATTCAAAATGGTAGGTGGATGAATGAATGTGGCTCCAAAAATATTCTTAGAAGATTCATGCATGAATGAACAAATAAGCAATATTTTCTAACACAAAGTTCTATATTTGTTACATATACTTTTTGCTGATCCATGTATATTGTTTCCTTCAAAATTTGAGTCAACATCTTAAGAATATTTATAAAGACTGCTTCAGCTGGGCAGATCACTTCAGCTCAGGAGTTGAGACCAACCTGGGCAACATGGCAAAACCCTGTCTCTACAAAAAATACAAAAATTAGCAGGTGTGGTGGTGCATGCTTATAGTCCTAGCTACTTGGGAGGTTGAGGCACAAAGATGGCTTGAGCACTGGGTGGGAGGTAGGGAGTGGAGGCTGTAGTGAGCTGAGATTGTACCACTGCACTCCAGCTGGAGCAACATAGCGAGATCCTGTCTCAAAAAAAAAGAGACTGCTTTGATTAATTCTTTATAACTTAGATTATGTCATTATTCTGTCTAGCATCGTGCCTAGCTCATTGTTGATAATAAATATTTGTTAAAAGAATAAAGAAATGAATTTGGCATTCTCATAAAGTTTTAGGTGGGAAGTATTTCTCTTTTCTCCTGTTCTCCCACACATGCAGATATCCTCAAAATACTCATATCAATGTTCTGCACAGTCCTCTAAATAAACTGAATAACGAGTACCTGGAGGTCATCTGGGGCAAGCCTAGTATGGAGTCTCCGGGAGGTCCATATGTGAAAGGGCTCTGAAGTGATTCTAAGGAGCAAGGTCTTTGCTATCAGGGAAAGTATACCAATTGTGGAGAGAATATGTGCTCACTTGCACTATGTTCTCCACCTTACTCTGAATCTTTCCAGTTGCTGGCTAAGGAAGAATCAGTCAACCAACTACAAAGAAGTTTCTTGGTACCAACAGAGGAGTCATTTTTATTATTTCCCTTATTTCTCAATATTTAATATACATGCAAATCATCTGGAGATCTTGTGAATATACAGATTCTAATTAAGTAGGGCTGGGACAAGGCCTGAGATTCTACATTCTAACATGCTGATGCTGAGGCTGCTGGTCTATGGATTACCCTTTTTAAGAAGCAGAGCACTATAAGATTGAACTGAATATAGACAAATTCAGACTAAGAAA